GATAAATTAGTTTTAATATTGATTTTTCTCTTTTCAATCTTAGAGATTTTATTCAAATAATAATATAAAACAGTTTAATCTTTGATATCAGCCGTCATAAATAAGGCTTTTATAGAATAATATCGGATAAGCTCACTGAAAGATGAATGCGAATGTAGTATTCGATTCATACCTCATCGGTCTACAACCACACATACCTCTCTCGTAATTTGTATGTAGTGACGTCAAAACATTCTGTTCAATAAAACGAAATATGTTTTTTTTGTTAAGAAAAAAAATTGAAATCTTTTTTTTTGTTTTACAGAAGAATTAATTCCTTTGGTTATTATTAATGAAGATACGAAATGGAAACAAAGTGCAACTACTGTTGCTGGAGGAAATAAACGAGGAGATGGACTAAATCAATTAAAGCAGCCTCTGGGTATTTATGTTGATGAGGACAGTGAAAGTATTTATATTGCTGATACTGATAACAATCGTATTGTTCGATGGAAATTTGGGGCAAAGAATGGTACAATTGTTGCAGGTGGAAATGGACAGGGCGATAACATAGATCAATTGCGGTCTCCAACAGACATAGTTCTTAATAAAGAGAAGACATCTCTCATCATTTGTGATTCGTATAACAAGCGAGTGATTCGATGGTCTCTTCAAAATAGTCAGAGTAAAGAAATATTGATCTCTGATATTTCTTGCTGGGGTTTGGCAATACATAATAATGGAGATCTTTATATTTCTGACTATAAAAAACATCAAATCAGACGTTTGCAGCAAGGAGATAAAGAAGCTACAATCGTAGTAGGTTACCATGGACAAGGAAATCAGTTGAATCAATTAAATGAACCTATGTATATCTTTGTCGATAAAAATCATTCAATTTACGTAGCGGATTGTGCGAATAATCGTGTAATGAAATGGATGAAAAATGCGTTTGAAGGGACTCTTGTTGCTCCAGGAAAAGCTTCTGGCGAAAGTCTTAATTCACTAAAGGAACCTATAGGTGTTATTGTTGATCATGTTGGTAATATTTATGTGTCAAATTCTTATGCTTTTCAAATAAAACGTTGGTCGCCAGGTGCAAAAGAAGGTGTTCCTGTCGTTGGTGAAGAAAAAATTGAAAGCGACGGACCCACGGAGCTCAGCCATCCATATGATTTATCATTTGATCGACAGGGTAATCTATATGTTCTCAGCTATGGCACGAATCGATTACAAAAATTTGTTATTGATGTTGACTAAAACAAATTTTTGATGATAAAATGACTTTTAATAAATATCTCTTTTTTGCCACTTTTCAATTTTTTTTTCATTAATAACAAATAAAGTTCTTAAAAATTATGAATAATTTGGAGGGTAGATGTGAATCTGAGATTTAAGAGTAGATAATCACATCTACACCCATCTTGAGGGTGTGGGTGTGGGTGTGGATATTACTGTGAATAAAAGAAGGGTAAAACACCCAAATCCACAGTCATTCAAGTGCACACCCACAATCATCCACACCCGAAACTCACTCGCAGATTCTTAATGATTTATTGTGAAAACGACAGTAACTCAATAGATCAGGTTACATTCTATGTCGATATATCGTTTGGTATCAGGAAAGAGTATCGTTTTTCTTGTTTGACAGACTTTATATTATGATTCTATGATCATGATTCTACAAATTAGAAATAAAACATGAACTGTCAATATGGAGAGTATGACAAAATTGATTCTGATTTTTTTTCTACAGGATGTGTAACTATATACTATCATGAAACTAACATTATTATTTTAACACGTTTATTAGTTGTTTGAACATCGTTCTATTCTCTTTCTAACGTTTTTTTATTACTAGTAGACAAGTTTATCGATGACAGTAATTATTCATTCACATTCACATCAGAGCAGAAAAAAGTTTTCTCTCACTAAAAATATATAACTTTTTATCCCTCTCGACTATAGACAGTCTTACAACGAGTGAAGATAAAAATAAAAACGGTCGATAATGGACGCAAGCTTATTAAACAAAGGTAAATTCATTTTTCAGCTTCTTAGAATAATTTTAATTCGATGGACAACTATTACTTGTCAATTGGATTTTTATCATACTGATGAAGCAATTAACAGCAATTCTTTACAATATAATTGTTTGAATTACCATGTTTACTGTAAGAAACCGGCTTATTCTAAATTATCAAATATCATTGGCGAAGTCATTCCATACTGTTTTCGTCCAGTACACTATTCCGAACTACCACTCGAAACCTCTGCTAATCCACTTTCTCAAAAACTAAGTTTCGAACAATTACGTCTGACTCATATCATATTACTTCAGAATAACTTCTCTCGCGGTCAGTTTCGATTGATGTAACTCAGCGATATCGATTCTATCTAACTGAACCGAATGTTGTATTTAATGAGGACCTCTACAATTGTACTGAACCGTGGTTTGGCCCTCGGTATCAATATTCGTTTCCTTCCGGCGGACGTAGATCTTTCAACTATATTGTTGAAGAGGCTTTTTCTTTGGGAAGTGGGTGAAGGCGATGCGGACTGTCTCGATCGATCAGATGAAATATTTGATGCCTTCTATATAAAATCCTGTTTCCAAGATCCTGCATTCCGCTGTGAGGAACATTCTTGCAGAACATACGAGGATACATTTCTCTGTGCAGATGGCCAATGTGTCAACAAATTTGATGAATGTTATAATGGACGACACATGTTACTGATAGAGTCGATGACAGCTATAGGTAGTCTAACAGACAAATGTTTGATTGCTATGATTTATCTCACTGAACTCGCGGAGCAAATTAATGGAAGTTCATGTAAAATATGGCTGATGAACGACTCAATTTACGGGTTCCTCAAACAATTTGATTCGTTTTTTCAATTTCCAACTATACCAGTTCATTCTGCTCACATTCGTCTCTTTTATGAAGAGCCGTATTTAAGACAGAAAATAAACGAGTTTCTTCTACCTGATTATCTTTGCTACAATCAACAACTATGTGATTCTATTAACCCTGATTTAATTCGTGAAAATCTCACTTGTATAAATATGTCCAAATTAGTGCTAGAACTGGATATTAAAAACAGACTCTAGAACAAACTGATGAGGACGATCGAACTAAATTTTCGTCCTTGTTTGATTTCTGATGCGACGTCACGCAATAAAACAAAAAAATATGAGGATCATTCGTTATTATATAA